GGGTAGCTGTTCGATTTCAGAGCATCAGTGACGTGGATTAATTCTTTCGCTTTTCCCTCGGGGGTACTTGGGAGGTTAGAAGTACGATTCAGGAGAGTGGTGGCAGTACTCAGCTTGTGTTTCATTTCGTGGTGTGAATAGAAATCCAGATATCGGTCTGTGTGGGTAGATTTCCTTTTTTAAAGGTTTTTGTGTTTCTAATGTTCTTTCTTCCTTGCTTTAATTTTATCATTACCTCTCCAAATAAATCCATAGATCAGTTTATTAATCTCCGTAATGAGATCTTTAGAAATTACGATTAATGCCGCTTTGCTCATAAATTTTGGAATAACGAAAGTTTTTACAATTTGAATTTCTCCTAGTAAGGTTAGACCTCTGCAACTCCACGTATTTAGAGATTTTTTAACAGATTTGAAAATTGAATCAAAATTAGCTTTTCTTCTTGATGGATTGTGATAGTCAAAATAAACACATAATATTTTGATAGTTGACCGAACTGTATGTGTAAATTCAGTCTATCCAAGGTGTTGTCGTCCAATTTGCAAATAGTTCTGTTTTGTCTTCATTTAACTTTAAACCAGAATACTTCGAAAAAACGTCTAGACACGTACAAAGATGTAAGTTAGAGAGCTTATCTTTTAAAAAACAAGTCATTTCTTCAGCGAATGCCGTTAGTTTAATTTCTTTATAATTGATTGTTATCCCTCTTATGTTGTGATCTTGCCTAATTTGGCACGCGAGAATTTCCATGGCCAAGGCAAATAATAATAGAGGTGACAAAGGGTTACCTTGAGGAACCCCACGATGTATATAAAAAAGATAAGTAATAAAGCCGTTTTTTATAACGCAGCTTGATATATCGGTATAAAATGTTTTTATCCGCTGTATAAAATACGGTCCAAAGTTGAATTTTTCCAACGCTTTGAAAAGAAAATTGTGATTGAGCGAATCAAATGCTTTTTCAAAATACCATATCTATTAGTTATTTCTGCAAAAATGTCATCAATTGCTCGCACTGCGTCGAAAACCGACCTTCCTTTGACAGAGCCATTTTGATTGTAGTGAATAATTTCCGAAAGAAACGGTTTTAGTCTCTAAGCTAGAGCTTTTGATGCTATATTTACATCAACGTTAATTAACGAGATAGGACGCCAATTTTTGATAAACCGTCTATCTTTATCCTTCTTTTCCAGAAGAATTATCAATGCTTGTTTTTGAGAAATAGACAACTGGCCGTGGACGTGAGAGAATTCTAAAGACGCTACAAGATGTTTCTCTAAGAGATGCCAAAATGCTAAATAGAATTCGGAGCTCAATCCGTCGTTTCCTGGTGTTTTGTTTTTCTTGAAGGATTTTAACGCGTCAAAGAGTTCCTCTCGAGAAAGTACTTTGTCTAAGATTTTTTCTTTATTTTCAAAACTTCTTATTATTTATCCCACTAAGAAAAATATTCATATTATCTTCGCCCAGAATAGACAGGTTTTTTTTCATAGAGCGTGGCATAGACATTTTGGATTTCTTTCAATATTTCATTCGGGTTTGTTAATATATGATTATTTTCATCAACACATATTTTTCTCATGCTACTCTTTTTCTTTTTGTTATTTTTAAATTCAAAAAGTATGTGTTACTCTTTTCTCCCTGCTCATAATTCTGCTGGGCTTGCTTCCAGTTCAAAATTGTCTGAGAGAGCATCATCGACTGGCGGGCAATTTTTACCATGGAGGAGCTAATTGTAGTCACAGAAAATTTTTCTGCGAGTTTTTCACAGACATTTCTGAGCATTTTCGTGCATATTTCAGGCTCCGAGCCGATTACTGTGTTCTGGGTATCATTGGAAAAATCGTTTCCTCCCGCAGAATTTGAGTACAGATGATGCCAATTTTGGTCAAAGGTGATGAAGTCAGATTTGGAACAAAAGCCAACGCTCGCCACGGCCGGTTACGGGCGGCACAGGAGTCAATGGGTTGTTAGTACCAGTAAAAAAACTGTTTTGTTTGTTGCTTTTGATCGCCCTCCCCCCGTGTCTTCTCCCCCAGATAATTAAGCCCTGTTTATGTAAGCCCGCCTGAAACCCTTAGAATAAAGTTCTATAAGCCTAGGACTTCCATGTATAACCAGATTTTACAGTATATATATCTTACTAGATGTTTTGGTGTGTAGTATCGCTGCGTATTTTTACGAGTTGAGTGGTATTTTGACGAGCCCGTAGGGCGAGTCAAAGTACAAGCAACGAGTAAAAATATACAGTGATACTGCACACCAAAACATCTAATAAGAGATTTATTATCCAACTGCTATAGTCAATAAAATTTATCAATGAAAGAGGGAGAGTGTGACAGTTATGCGTGCGCGCGCCGACCTGTACGGCAAACAGGTTTTCTACTGTACAATATCGCTGTATATTTGTGCTGTTATTTGGACGGTATTCGCTGCAGTTGGATAATAATTTCACTTATTGAGTAAATTTAACCAGCGCACATTGAGAGATCTTGAATTATGTTTTCTTCTTTTCATTTTTACATCAATTAGCTTTTTTATGGGGCATGTGGATGATATAGCTCAATGTCGTCGTAGTGGAGAGCACAGCCATTACAAATTCCTTGAATGGTAGGTTGCAGCTGAACTAGTTATTTGATAATTTAGTCAGCATATACATGCTGTAATATTAGCTCAGTGAAACAGAGTTGCAGGTTACAAAATAGTACGAAGCATGCTCCTGGGGGTGTGCTGTGTAAGTCAGAGTGCGTGGGAATATTTTCAATAGTCGACAGTGTTTTTTTTTGTTTGTTTCTTTTTCACAGGCATTTGGAATATGGCAAGGTTGTGCTTGTTTGGTTAGCATTTAAACCGTTTGTTTTAGTAGCTGATCCAGGGCTTATAAAGGTATGAAGTCAAATCTTTAGAAGAAAAATATACCTGCCGGCCTTGGGCATTTAAGTCCTATGCGACCATAGCCATACAGGTGTCCTGTCCTATACCTTCACATTTCATTACCGAGCTTAATGTGAAGGTATATGACAGGACACCTGTCATATATGAACTCAGTTAAGTGACCTTGCTCTCCATGAGTTCTC